ACGAGCAAATTAGTTGGAGGAAGTTGCAGGAGATGCAGTAGCTGCTGCTCGTGAGTCCCAGCCATCTAGTTTAGCCCCTATCCGCGCCGCTACAGTCGGCGGTGAGGCACAGTCACAGAAACAGGTCCGCAAGTAACATATCGCTGAGACCCTGTTAGAGCATTTGTTTCGTTATACGGAGCCGGCATATTTTTAATAGAACTGAGCCCCATTCGGATATTTTTGGATATTTTATGGCCACCATAATATTATGATGCCGTTCGGAGGAGAGCCCTTTTTTTTTTTTTTTGTTTAACCGAGCTGCCTCTCTATGGTATTCAGTATATCAACCGTGTCCATTGCTCGTCCGTTTCCCACATGAATATCAATTGCAAGCCTATCAGCTCGTTCCTTGCCCTTTACACCAGAATACCCAGAGCTGATTTTTTTTTCCAGCCTAGATCTATTCAGGGACCACCTATTGTCTTCGTACGCAACCCTTCTCGATCTTTTTGAGCATATTCATCGAGTCGCTATAAAAAGCGTTGCAAAGATATATAATTCTTCTTCTTTGTCGATCCTTCTGTCGGAAAACTTATATCAGGAAAACGGTAGCCTTTATGAAAGCCCCCCCCCCCCCCCCAACCCCCCCCCCCCTCCCAACCCCCCTTCCATCCAATTTTTTTTTTTTTTTTTAAATTAGAGCCCTTCGGATGTGCTTCTCATGTTTGGATGTGCCGATCTTTACTCCCACTTCTCGTATTCATATCAGTAGTGTGGACACGTTGCTTCCAAAATCCTCGGAAGGTCTTGTCTAAGGGCATTGACAATGTCTGCGTGATCCATGGGCCGGCCATCTTCAATTAATGTGGTACCTGCCAATCTATCAGCTTATTCATTACCAACAACGCCTGCATGACCCTGGGACAAATATGAAGGTAACTGCAAACACATGAGACTTTAGCAATGATTCAATTCACTGTCTGCGTAACCAGCCTGCCCCGACCCTCCGGATCATGCTCAAAGAATCACTCAGCACACACACGCGGGAATAGTCCTGTGATTCTAGCCACATGAAAGCTTGTGTCACCGCCATCACCTCCATCGTCATGCTGCTGGTAGTCATGGAGAAGGCACCGCTGGCTTCTGGAACTGTTCTGCCTGAAGAGCGAGCTGTAAATGCCCATGCACTCTTATGTCCTCGTATAACAGACACGTCTGTCAAGATCAGTGCATCTGTCTTATGTGACTTGTCACTGATAAGCGCACATCCCTCGGCGCTAAAAGCAGTGGGATTCTGCTCCCGACAACTCCTATCAAGCTTCACTGAAAATTAAACCGCAACAGTCAATATTTCTATTAAATATATTGACCCAGAGTCAGTCCGGAAGACCAGCCTAAGGCCAGACATAGTTCTGCACTTTACGGAAAAACGCCAGTTCATCCTGATAGAGCTGACGATGCCGTGCGAATTGCGGATGGAAGAAAATCACACGTGTAACTCGAACAAAACCGTGAGCTCGTGTCCGATGTGAGGAGAGACGAAGCGTTCGCCGTCGAGGCAGGGTTGCCATATTGGCATTTTTTATGCCAGATTCGACAAATTTGGCATATTTGAAATTAAACTGCCATGATTGATTTGATTCAAGAACCGACATCACAGCACTTGGGGCATTCCCAAAAGCAATTGAACTGCCATAAGATAATGAACTGGTAAAATTTCGGTATATTTGGGTTTTTCCTGGCTTTTCTTATCAAGATGTGCTCACATTTGCTTCATGGTTCCTCCGTTAGAATTACGCAGATTTACTAAAAGCAATGTAGACCTACAGTTGACATCTTTATTTCAGTTTGACTTTGTTGTGATGTCCTGGTACGGACTAACGGAGATTCGCACCCTTTCTTATTATATTTGTTGTCTTCCTAAACGGATCGTGACTTCGATAAACCAAGGCCCTCTGTAATTTATGTTAATCTACTAGAATAAATGTGGGATATAAAAACAAAACCCACCACTGATACCAAGGGATTCAGACTGTTCAGAAACTACTTGAGGACAGAAAATAGAGAGGATATAGACCTAGTTCTATCTGTGATAGATTTTATTACTTTTGCCAAAGGCCACGTCATCCAAAAACATGGAAAGCATCTTATGACATCAAGTATAATCGTAACAATAAAACATACCCACGGCTCAAAAGATCTTCAGACGGATCAGAGGCAGCATATTGTAAACTGTGTCAGTGCACTGTTGCGCCAAGAATTTGTAGCATATCAAATCATGAACAATCTGAAAAACACGGGATGAAAACTGTCCAAAAGCCAGTTACAGCTTATTACTACAATGACTCCTATCCTAGGCAAAGTAATGATAAAGTTAAAGGCAGCAGAGTTGCAACTTGCTGAATTTGCATGACCTGCCATTGTGCAATGCTCACAATTGATCATCTAAGTTAAATCCTGAGAGGGATTACATTGGAGCACACACATTTGCATATAACTAAATGTTCATGCCTTATTAAAAATTTAACATCGTCTGCACTTGAGGATTACCTTATTGATGATTTTCGGAACAAGAAATATGCCATTAGTATAGATGAGTTGCAAAGATTTCATCCCATCTGAGAAAATTCTTAAAGATTTTAAATCCGAAAAGGTTAACGCTGTGTCTCCCTCTTGTTCCAGTGAGGATGACAGTGAAGAATTCAATCTAAAGCTTTTGATGTGAAGCGAGAACAATGTAACACTTTATTTGACATTTGCTGGCATATTTTGGGTAATGGTTTGGCATAAAATTAAGTTTTTTTTTTTTATCTGGCAACCCTGCGTCGAGGTAGGCAAAAGAAGTTTTATCTCCACTTCCACGTACAATGTGCTAAAGCAGCTGGGCTTGCGAGAAAACGAGCGTAAACGGTCACTAAAACAACTGGGCGAAACTGTTGAAAGAGCTTCGAGCTGGCTCTGGACGCAACGGAACGTCGTGTGGTGGGGGGGGGGGGGGGGGGGAGATAAAAAATGGTCCTCGGTAGACTGTCTTATCCCTTAAAATCCAAAGTGTCCTGTAAATATCTGCCGGTGTCTGTCTGCAAAATGCCAAAGTCTAACAATTGTCCGATGAACCAATCATTAGCTTGTCACTCCGGTCGTAAAGGTAGTCAACTGATCTAATTTGCTACTGCAGCGACAATGTAACACTAAATCTCACTGCCCCTGTTGCAAAATCACCAAATCGTCTTGTCCCTATCGAGTCCGATGAAGTGCAGCAGGGGAAGATCGGGACCTGGCTTCATGACCCAGGTCGGCCTACCTTCCAAGATTGTTTAAGGAAGTCATGAGCCGAAACAATTGTCGACGAAGGATCTCCACTGATGACCAGTGGACCGTGCTGTGCATGCGCCCGTGTGGAGTTCTTCTTACTGTTATCCGTATATTTAAAAGGCGTTTATTAAAAAATTTTCTGAGACTAGCTGGTTTTTGTTTTGTTTACAGTTGGGGCCTCAGGATTTTACATAGCTTAGGGCATCATCAGGTGTAAATCTGCACCTGTAAACTGGTATTACTTTCACCCGTTCTATCTTAGCAGACTGGTACTGATCAATATGTGTACCTTTATGTGTTAAATTTATAAGACTGACACAAACAAAGATAAAGTATCAATTGGGGTAGTGTGAGTTGGTGTAAAAAAAAATATAGGAAGAAAAATTAATTATGTAATGATAATTGCAGCTATCTGTATGGTTTCCGGGGTCCTAAAGTAGGAAAAACAAGAACAGACCCACTGCCTACCCCAGTAAGCTTGTCGTAAGAGTCGACTAATTTGTTGCTTCCTTTAAAGTCAGAGTGCATCAGTACGAGAGGCAAGGAAACAACTGCAAACAAATAGGCTAAACCAGATCAGTGAAACGGGTGTGCCCGCAGCACTCAGATTCTGGAACGTGACTAAAGTCCGGAGGTGGTCGAACAACCAGAACTTTCCATCAGTATTTACAATCAGTGAACATATAGAAGAAGAAGAAGGATAAATGAACGTTACGACGATAAGCTTTAGTGAGCAGAACAACAACGAGAAACACAAAACTCACAGAGAAATAACACACGAAGAGATAGTTAGTTAGTTAGTCGACAGATTATCCTCATTGCACGTCGAACCACTTAGCGTGTAGCGGCGACGACATCAGTTCTGTGCTGGTTTCTTTTTCTTCTTTGGCTACCTACGTAGTGTTCTTGTTTGGCAACATCCCGTTTTTAACTTGCTCTTCTTGCAGTCTGACCATGGTTGCAGATTCACAGTTCTCAATTGGTGCACGCAAACGTGTTAAATCTTCTAGAGCATTCAGTATATCAGTCTGGTCCATGGCTTGTCCGGCTTTCACAGTAGCTTTACCTGCAAGTCTATCAGCTTGCTTATTTCCTTCCCCCACATACCCTGGCACGAATATGAAACTTATCCGTGTCAGCCCTGAAGGCTGTTGAGCCAACAACCACTGCCTTAGGACCCAGTCCTTCTCTATCAAAGATATGCCAGGTATAAAATTAGTTAATCTATTAGTAACGTGTACAATATCCTGTTCATCCCTCTGGGTTTTAACTGAGATGTATAATGTCGACATACCTATGTATACATTCATTTTTTGTCGTATTGTGCCATTTTACGAGTATGTGACACAGGTCTTACAGTCTATTCTTTTATTCAGTTATATCCTGCCCAATCAGTTCAATATCATGGATGAAACTGAGTCCAGAACCTTTGGTCTCTCTCATTAACGTTAATTTCAGGGATTCTTTTAGGCGTCGTCACCTCCCCCCATCCTTTATTTCCTATTGTGCCTTTTTATTACCAATACAAATAAAAAAATTAACGTAAAGGTAAAGGCGTCTGTAAATATTGCTAATACAAGTGTGATGTTTGTGTGAATTCACCAAGAGGAGGAGAAAAGTCGCAGCTGACTTGATATCGCAGGTGTCCACATCAGCGTCGGCTTGTCAACGTGTGAAAGCTGCTGTTCCCTCTCGTCTGCACCATGGCTCCAAAACGCCCAAAAACTTCTAAAAGTCCGTCCATTTTCAGTAGTGAATTTATTATTCAAAACCACTCTGATATTGTATCATGTGTGGCTATGGTTTTTGTCGTTGGACTCATGTTTCAGGTGAATTATTTACGATTTTACTTACATGACTTTAAAACTGGCCTGTGAGACACTGTCTGTGGGAGGTGGCTGGACACTTAAGATGTCCTTTCGCCTTTGCATTGAAAACGAGACCCTTCCATTGAACTTGAAGTTTAAGTGCCTCAGAGGCAAGAAACCAACAGTCTGCATACAAATAAGCCAGATCTGTAAAAACTGACCTGCACGCAAAACTGAACTACGCAACTTCTGCTGGAAACAAGAGAAGTCCAGTTATGGGCAGCAGCTATAACTTTTATCCGGAATTTACAGTGAGCTGGTGAGCGCTTAGAAGAAAAAGATAGTGATCCCCTAAGAAGAATAAAGTGATCTCCTAAGAAGAAAAAGAAAGTGATCCCCTAAGAAGAAGAAAGTGATTCCCTAAGAAGAAAAAGTGATCCCTTAGAAAACAAAAACAGAGACACAGAACTAATTATTTCTAACGTAGATTAGTTTATTCATTAGGTAGATAAGATTGACTGAAAAAAAAAATTAGTTAATTCAAGATCCAACATTACAGCAATCTCAACTTTCCCAAAAGTGTTTATCCTCATCTTCAGCAGCCAGAGAAGGGTAGCAGTTACAGTTCCGATTTACCAGTAACAGTGATTAAGTGATTAAGTATCAATGTCAGACTTGGACATTAACAAAAGAACACGAGAGAAGACTAACCACCTGTGAAATGAGATGTTTGAGAATGGCTGCGAATAAAACAAGAAGAGATCGAGTGAGAAACGATGTGATTACAAGAACTATTGGAACCATACCCATCGTTAAATTTATTGAGAAGCAAAGAATGAAATGGTTTGGTCACGTAATGAGAATGGAACCAACGATGCCAGCATCAAGAGCATACAACATGAAAATCGAAACACCAAGAGGCAGGGGAAGACCAAGAAGAAGATGGATTGAAGGAATCACGGACAACTTGAGACTTCATAACATCACGGCATATGAAGCGACTGAACGCGCCCTGGCTCGGTTGCCGATCATCTGATAGACTGCGACGCCTAGCGGCACAAGCATATTTTGACAAAAGAAGAAAGAAGAAGATGTGATTAAGTGTACATCTGGCCTTTCCTCTGAGTGTAGATTGTTGGTGTCAGATCCCCTGGTCAGTCCCCACTGCACAGTTCTCTTCAGACATTGATAATCTGTGCTTCTGCAAAGTTCTGGCACTCCAAGAGAGCCTTGATCACATCTAGTTTGTGATCCAGCAATTCACCATTCAGTAGTAATTAACCATTTTAGCACGTGAAGTTTTTCAGATGTCTAGCCAAAAACACGGAGCATTTTTTCAGTAAATTTGGTTATTACTTTAATTTTTTTGACACATTTTTGTTATTTTGACCCCCATGAAATAATATATCTATTTGAAGGATATAGATTGAAGTTCATGATTTTCACAATATCGTTAAAATTAATTGATGTATATGCAAATTATCTCATTTGCATATCTAAAAATAGAAAATTAGAATGTGAATTTTCAACTTCAGTGCATGAAACATATAACTAAAAACAAAAATGTATTTTACTTGAAATCTTTTTAATTGATCTTTGGCCTTTTTACAAATGTTGTAAGCAATTCAATAGTCAAAAACAGGTATATATATATATATATATATGAAACAGCAATAATATCTTTAGGTGACATGTGTTTTTGACCATCAGTCGGCACAAGAAATGGAGGTGCCGGAGTGGCAACACCTTCGGGTGGATATACCCTGAGCCATGGTTGGGCTGTGGTCTGAACACAACAGCGTCCCCATCTGATTCCCCACTATTACTACTAACACTAGATCCTGCATCAGTATCAACAGAATTAGTGTCATCACTTGATTCAAATGTTTTATCAACATCAAGTTTAGGAGCAGAAACATACAAGTCAGACATACTTTTAGCGGTTCAGGTCATTATCTAAAAAATTCAACAACAATTTTCACTTCAATACCAAACACTCGAAAGTCTCCATGTGTAAAGCTAATACAGCAGTGAATATAAATGAATCACTTTCAGTGTTTCAAAATAGGAGATTTCTTAGCGGTTCGAGGCAAAACACGATCGGGCCGATGATCGGCCGTTCCGTGTTTTTGGCCAGACATCCGCCGGCCGATAATCGGCCCGTCCGTGCTAAGAGGGTTAAATAATGATCAGGAACTTGCTGAAAGATACCGACAACAAGCAGACATTATAACCAGTCTTTACTTTATCAACGAATATTAAAATACTACAAAGGCTTTATAATAACCTAAGAAAAAAAAATTAAATGATCACATAATAAAGTAATGTAGTGATATCCTTGACAGAAAAAGGAGAAAGTGGAAAGTCCTGGTTGTTCGTCCACTTCTCAACTTTGGTCTTGTTCCACAACAGAAACCACTGCGATTATGTGATTAAAAAAGACCAGTGAGGACCATTGCAGGGGTACCATAGGAGGCTGTGGGGGCTGAGCGAACTTATAATTTTCTGAGGACGACGCAAAAAAAAGGGTGAAGCCTTGTTTAAGTGTGCAATATGAGTATTAATAATTATCTATTGCTACTTTCAGGCAACATCTCGTGTGGCTGGATTGTTTGTTACCTTGCAGTACAACCAGACAGTCAATGGTGAGTCCTTAGGTTTTTAAAGTCTCACAATGGGAAGTGTGTGGGGGGGGGGGGGGGAACGGGTCGCAGTATGTTCAAAGGAGCCTCATATCTTCCTCTGTATTTTTTCAGGAGCATGCTACAATATTAACCAAGGTAGAGCAAGTAAATTTTCTTCTTCTTCGTGTTCATTCATTGGCTGTAAACTCAGAAAGTTCTGGTTCTTCAGCCACTTCTGGGCTTGTATCTTGTTCCAGAACCTGGGTTTTGCGTGCAAATCTGTTTGACAGGTCTAGCTTTTTTGTATGCAGACTGCTGGTTCCTCAGCTTACAGACAGAAACACTCTAACTTTGAAGGAAACACCCCTAATTAGTTGTCTCCTATGTCATGCTTGTTAGGGGGCAGTAGGTCTGTTCTTTCCCCTCCCCACCTCTCCACCCAAATTCGGCCTAGGAATCCACTCAGGGAGAGCACATTAATGAAAATTTCCAAACGGAATACAGACATACACAACATTACATGTGTACATCACATTACAGACATACACAACATTACAGACGTACACCACATTACATACGTACATCACATTAGACATACACCACATTACAGACATACACCACATTACAGACGTACACCACATTACAGACATACACCACATTACAGACGTACACCACATTACAGATGTACACCACATTACAGATGTACACCACATTACATACGTACATCACATTACAGACATACACCACATTACATACGTACATCACATTACAGACATACATCACTTTACAGACATACACCACATTACAGACGTACACCACATTACAGATGTACACCACATTACATACGTACATCACATTACAGACATACATCACATTACAGACATACATCACATTACAGACATACATCACATTACAGACATACACCACATTACATACGTACATCACATTACAGACATACATCACATTACAGACATACATCACATTACAGACATACATCACATTACAGACATACACCACATTACATACGTACATCACATTACAGACATACATCACATTACAGACATACATCACATTACAGACATACACCACATTAGATACGTACATCACATTACAGACATACACCACATTACAGACGTACACCACATTACAGACGTACACCACATTACAGATGTACACCACATTACAGATGTACACCACATTACAGATGTACACCACATTCAGTGAAATGTACAAGGCAGACAATTTTACAGTTTGTTATATTTTTCTCAAATTTACCAAGGGGAAACATTACTTTGGCATGTCAGTATGGCGAGTGAGGTTCATTGTCGCTGCATGTTTTTTTTTTCTCAGCCCATCTGAAAAACTATATATACATATATATATATATATATATATATAGTGACAAAGGTATGGACAGACTAGCAATTTCAGAAGAGAGGCAGATAAGAATTGTAACTCAAAACATTTGACTTTCAGATAAGTATACAAGATATTGCAGTCTTCTGATTAGTCTCAGTCTTGGGGGCTTGTGTGATCCAAGAACTATGCTGATGGTAGTGTAGCTACTTGTAGGGCCATCCATGTGAAATAGGTCTGAGGCCAGAAACAAGGTAATGGCAGGCACAGATCTACTGCCATCGCGGTAGGCTGGAGACATTCAGAGGTTGGGGAAAGCAAAATACTTGTGAAAATGTGATGTAGTGTTAACATTCTTCCTGCTAGCTTTTACCGGCTGTACACAGTGGCAGAAATTTATGGATATTCATCAACTTCTAGACTTCATCTTCTTCCAAAACTTGATTTGCAAAGCACAGCTGCTTGATAGACCTGACTTTATACTTGTCTGCAGACAGTTGGATCCTCTCCACTTAGGCAGATCACTCCTCCTACTTCAGAGGAGAAATCCCTTGTCCTCTTGTATGAAATGCTTTTTCGGTTTTTAGGGAGGCAGCAGGTCTACCCCTTTTTGCCCCCCACCCAACCCCAAACCAAATGGGATGGGACTTCAGAACAAGAGATAAAATAGTGAAACATACTTGCTTCATGATAAAATAATGAATTTTACAAGCTCCCTAATTTCCAAAAAATACTTATCTGTACTTATATTAATAATTCTTTTTTTTTTTAATAGTAATTTTTTAAAATTTTGTAAGTGAAATATAAATTTTGCAGATGTCAATAGTGTGAGTGCTTTCCCCTTATAAACTTTGTGTGAATTTTCACATCTCAGATTCAGCAAATGTGGAACACATAGTCTACTCAACTGGCAGCAGAGACCTGTTTACAGTCTTTTTCTATTTCCTGATCTGCATCGTCATCCACGCTGTCATCCAGGAGTATGTCCTTGATGTAAGTATGCTACCTAGTCAGTTTATTTCTGTCTCAAATCTTGTCTATTTGTTCATTAAGAATCAAAGTATAATTTAACTCTTTAAATACCAAGAATATGTTCTTAATGTAGGTATCCTATATAGCAGATCAATTCAAATAAGTTCACTCAGGGGCCAACATTTTGAAAATGGAGATTGTCACGGGCAGAGGCCTGAGCCCAAGCATAGAAAGATCATTAATACAGTACAACTAGCACTGATCCATCAGCCCACTTTCTAGGCTCCACGGGCCAGATCTGGTCCACGGGTCATCAGTTGAATAGCATTGCCATGGAGTACATTAATTTCTGTGTGAAATGTTTTTCATTTGTTAATGAATCATAACATGATTTAACTCTTTCAATACCAAGAGTATGTTCTTGAGGATAGTATCCTGCTCAAACAATTAACCCTATTACCCCGAGAAGCCAAAGACTGACACTTCCGACTGGGTTCAGTTCTCCTTAAATGTCACTTTTCTGACTTGTCCACAATGACATGTTTACAATTAATTGTATTGCTTGAGTTCATGACTGCACAAATGTTTAGGAGGTCAAGAAATGAATATATTAACTAAAATTGTGGTAAGAGTGTTTTTCCCTGTGAACCAAATAGTTTTGAAAAGCCAAGTTAGTGTCATATTTGCCCATAAGCCTTAGTAATAGAGGTCAGAGGTCATGGCATTAGTCAGCTGATGCTTATTGGTTTCTGGGCTCTGGGGAATGTATTCCATTTAATGGTTCACTCTGTTCATGTTTATTGATGGTTCACTTTACTATGTTTATATATTTCACATACACGCACGGGCGCCTGTGTGTAATTAATATTTAAAAAAAAAATTGATTATTGACTTGTGAAAAATTGTTTTAAAGGATTTTTTCAAGAATTCCCATGGGGTCGTGTTCAATTTTTTGTACCTCTTTGCCTTACTGGGAAGACAAACAGGGTTGAGTATTTTTTTTTTAATGAAGAATCTGGAAAAGCAATTATTTTCCAGTTGTGAATTTTGGTAGCTAGAATACACATTATATGTTACACCATTTATTGCCTGGCATGTTTTGCGATGTCTTATCTAAAGCATTTTAATATGCTTTGTACATAAAATACAACTGCTGCTGTGTGAAGGATGATTGTTTGAATGGGCCAAATGTAAGATGGGCCTGTGTGGCTCTTAGAAAAATAGAGTTAGTTTACTCATTCTTTTGATCATACTTTGGAAGTGGGAGCCGACCATGGTGTAGCGGCTAGATACTCACCTACAGATCATAAAATAGGGGTTTCAGATCTTGACAAAGGCATACTTTAAAAGAATGGTCGACCCAGATTTAAATAGGTACCAGGTAAAGTCTTGGAAAGTAAAGGTGGTCGGCGCAATTCTGACCATATCAAGTGCCAATCAATCTTTAAATATAGGTTAAGCTGTATATTCCCTGTTTGCCTTATTGTTATTAGGCAAACTGTAGTCCATTAAGGTGGATATATTTAAGTTTTCTGTGCATACTTTAGTCTTAACCTGGAAATTATTTCAACAGATCTTTAAATTATTTAGTATGTATATTGCTGTGGCTTAAGCATTGATTTGTCATTCCCACCAGACTGTCTTGTGTTGGTTTCAACAGGGGTATTGAGAGCTGACCGTTCAGTAAGCCGTGGCAAACTACAAAACATAAAATATCCTAATAAAGTTTCAAACAGCTAGAAAATGCTGAAGTTGGTTCTGTAACGTCATGTTAATGACATGCAGCTAATATTTGAAATATCATTTCCAAAATAAAATGTCAGATAAGACTTAAATATTATTAAATGACATATCAAAATAAAAAAAATGTATGAAGGATATTTAATTTTTTTTTTCAAGAAATAGTTGCAAAATGTATCCGTCAAAAATCAATCGAAGCAAATTCAATGATCACGAATATTAATTTTTTTCCAGAAATTGAATCGCAAAATGCATCTGTCAAAAATCAAACACAGCAAATTCAATGAGTCGGGCCAGCTGTTGGTTTTCTCCCTTGTGTCTGCCGTTTGGGGTGCCAACATTTTTTTCAGGGTGAGTATAACAGTTTTCATCATCTTATTTCTTATTGTGCATGCTATGTGGCATTGGTAGTCATGTCTGTCCACAGCCTTCAGTCACATGCTCTTTCAGTCATTTCTGATACAGATATTCTTCCATGCCATGATGCTTAACTGTCCCAGTACCTTCTCGCTCTCAATCTTCCTCTGCCTTTCTTTTCCTCTAGCTTTCCTATAATCACGATGTAATCCTGTTTCCGCTCCTCATGATATGCCCAAAGAATTTAGAAAGCAAATACAAATATTTTATGCCTAATATTATGCAATGTCTCAGTCTTTTATCTTCTTTTACTCTTAACTCTGATTTCTTCTTAGTCTCACAGCATCCATAGGTGAACAGCTTTGAAACAAGCTGTGGTGTTTGCCTTGTACTGTGTCATGTTTGTTGCTTCAGTTGTTCTGTTTATCTTTTCTTCTGCTCTGTATTCTCTATTGAAGCTTGGGCCTACAACCAGTTTACAGCAGGCTGTCAGGGCTCTCACTGTCCTGTGGAGCACTAACCCCATAAATATGAGAAAACCATTTTCTTGGATCTAATTTGATGAATGCTGGTATCACGTCTGATTGTTTCCTAATTTCATTTATTATTCTATCCTTCCTTGTTGTGCCAAACATCCAGAACAGATAAATAATCTCTTCGTGAAAATTTACAAATTGTTGCTACATCTGTGTGTTACCAGGGCTCATACGGAAAGTGAAGAAATGTAATACTATAAGCTGCCGTGCATTTCTCAAGAGGTGCGCTGGAGGGTGTTTTGAGATTGGCTTTCTTGTCCCATAGAAAACTAAACTGCAAAATTCAATTCAATAAACACATGTCTTTGAGAACCATCTTATCTGTCTAATGGGTTCTTATTCTCCTAGGGGTCTTAATGTCCAACATAGTTTTATCAAATATTGTGAAGTTACATCCCTTGTCATAACCTTGCCTACCAGTCTAAATTCTGTTTGTCACTTTCTGTCCAGTATCTCTTTCCTGCTATGACATGTAATGTCAGAGTTTCTTCTGTTCAGACATTTTATGGATGTTTCTGTGACAGATCTTATCTAACAGATGAGTGATTTTTGCTTATCTTTGTTTGTAATTGTAACATTGACTGTTTGTATTTTACGCCAATGAAAGATTGACTGTTTGTATTTTACGCTGATGAAGGCTTTGTAATCGGAGCATTAATTTTGTTTGTGATTGAGGAGTTGACTACAACTAATTCTCCTTTGGATAATATTTAAAAAAAAAAAGTCTTACGGAGAGTTTTATCTAAATTGGTTCAGAACCTGCGCTGCTTTTGGAGATGAAAGTAGATAAAAAAAAATTATTTTGTTCAAATGTTTGTTGTTTTTATATATAGAGATGTTAACTCTGTACAAATTTGGTTTTAGGAAAATTTTGTGACAAGTGTGAACCAACTATGGGAAGGATATCCTCATAACAATTTATCGTAAGTAATTTGTGTTACTTTTCCTAGTGTTAAACCATCTACATTCATTCTGTTGAGCCTTTTGGGTTAAAATTATGAAATTTACTGTGTCTTGAGTAGATATCACACACAGGTGCTCAGCTTTGATCAAATCATATCTCTGGTTATGTATAATCTTCTTCTTCTTCTTCTTCTTCTTCTTCTTCTTCTTCTTCTTCTTCTTCTTCTTCTTCTTCTTCTATTTCTTCTCCTACTCCTCCTCCTCCTCCTTCTTCTGCTTCTTCTCCATTGACCCTTAAAAGGGTGGCTGGTATGCTTATTTGTGGTTTACAGCCAGGCTGCGATATCTGCACCTTTCAGCACACCATATCCGATTTCAGCAAACCCCGTATTACTTCTTGTACGACATGCTTGTTGCGTTGGGGGGGGGGGGGGGGGGGGGGGGGCAGTGGGTCTATTCTCCCCCCATCTCCCAAAATGGGGCTCCAGAACTCCTAAACAGGAAATGTATAATCTGACATTTAACATTATAATTATATTCACTTAGTTCAGATCTTTTTCCGGTATCTCTTTTCTACTCAACAAGTGCACTTGGAGTGTCACCTACTGTTCAGAGTAAGTAAAGATCCCTTTTCACGCCTTATGCGCATCGGGCATATGGGAAGAGCACCCATATTTTTACGGACCAATCAGCACTAGGTGGGTATGGTCGTCAGCATTATGCCGGCCATGTTTACTTCCCAAGGACATACATTCTGATACCCGTTTTAGGCTAGGTCAACCTGTGACGCCCCATACCACGATAAAAAACCATGCAGCCAGCAGTGGGTTTCGATCGCAGTGCGTTGGAGTTACGAGTCGGACTCGCAACACCTAAGCCACAGACGCCGCACTGTTTACTTGTGTTATGGATATTTCTATGACCGACCTCATCTTATAGATAAATGATTGTGCATAGTCTGTAATTGTGTCATTGGCTGTTTGTAATGTTTGCTGATCAATGCTCCACGGGATGGTGATACTTCTTTTTTTAACTTTGACATCTTAATGTACAAATATATTTACCTTGTCATTTCAGGTTTAGTGTGAAGTTTTTCTTCATTATTCAGCTGGCCTATTGGTTGCATAATTACCCAGAGCTGTATCTGCAGAAGGTTAGAAAGGTAAACTTTGTTTGTTTTTTTGTTTTTATTCTTTTATATCAGCATTGTTAGTAACATAGACATTCTTCGTAGTATAGACAGTAAATTCAGACCATCTGAAAAATAGTCAGATTTTAGTAATGAAGGTAATCTTAATAATATTATTTTAGTAATTAATATAAACAGTCTTAATAATACAGATAATCTTAGTAATATAGTCTTAATATTGTAGGAAATTTTAGCAATGTAGATAATGTTAGTAATATAGCACTAAACAAAACAGACAGTCTTGATAATGTAGACATTTTTAGTAATGTAGACAATCTTAGTAATGTAGACAAACAATGTAGAGTTTTATTAATGTAGAGAATTTTAGTTATGTGGTCGTATAGTAAAGTCAAGGAGCCTTTTCCACGCCTTTAGGCGTTTTGGGTATTTAGGGCTAGACCCATATTTTTATAGACCATTCGGCACTTGGTGGGTGATGTGATCAGCACAACGCCGGCTGCCTTTACTTTCCCAGCACTGTACCTGGTACCCACTCAAGGTTGGGTCAACCGGGGAGTCAAGGTCATTTTTGAAAACATTCCAGCTCTGTCAGGACGCAAACCACGACCTTCCGATCCGCAGCCAGCGCCACGGCGACTCCCTGTCTTAGTAGTATAGACACGCTAAATAATATAGACACTCATAATATATATGTATATATACGGGAGCTGCCGAGGTCTAGCGGCTAGACGCTCTGCTGCAAATCGGAAGATTGTGGGTTTCGTTCCTGACGAAATTCTGATTTTTTTTTTCAAAAATGACCTTGACTTCCAAGTCGACCTAACCTTGAGTGGGTACCAGGTACAGACCTGGGAAAGAAAAAGCAGCCGGCGTGATGCTGACCACATCACCGACCAAGTGCCGTTTGGTCTATAAAATATAGGTCTAGCCCTATATACCCAGTACGCCAGAAGGTTGTCAAGAATCATCTCTCATTGTCTTCCCCTGTCTATTTTTTCCCACAGATCTTTTTAGAGGTCACATTATCTTCAAGTGTCCTTCTTCTCTTAACATGACCCAGAAAAATGATGAATGTCTCTTTCTGATGTTTGTGATATGTTGTCTTTGAGCTCTTTCTGTTAATTGCTTTATTTCACTGATGTTACAGAATCGTGACATAGACAATTAAAATCTGTGTTTTTTGTTAGTTGAGACTTAACAACTAGATTCAAACCACCCCCTCCTCAGTGTGAATTATTTACACTCATTTTCAGTTTACTTCAAATAGTTACACTCATTTTCAGTTTACTTCAAATGGTTACACTCATTTTCAGTTTACTTCAAATAGTTACACTTGTTCTCAGTTTACTTCAAATAGTTACACTCATTTTCAGTTTACTTTAAATAGTTACACTCATTTTCAGTTTACTTCAAATAGTTACACTTATTCTCAGTTTACTTCAAAAAGTTACACTTATTCTCTGTTTACTTCAAATAGTTGCCCTCAGTTTAGTTCAAATAGTTGCCCTCAGTTTACTTCAAATAGTTACACTAATTCTGTTTACTTCAAATAGTTACACTCATTTTCAGTTTACTTTAAATAGTTACACTTATTCTCAGTTTACTTCAAATACTTACACTTATTCTCTGTTTACTTCAAATAGTTACACTCAGTTTATTTCAAATAGATACACTTATTCTCAGTTTATTTCAAGTTGTTGCACTCAATTTACTTCAAATAGTTACACCCATTCTCAGTTTACTTCAAATAGTTGCACTCATTCTCAGTTTACTTCAAATAGTTACACTCATTGTCAGTTTAATTCAAATAGTTACACTCATTCTCATTTTAATTCAAATAGTTACACTCATTCTCAGTTTAATTCAAATAGTTACACTCATTCTCAGTTTAATTCAATAGTTGCACTCATTCTCAGTTTACTGTCAAATAGTTACACCAATTTCCAGTTTATATATTCAGTATAACTAACAAATTCTGTATGTAAATATTTTAACAGGAAGAGATTTTTGGAAGACTGCAGTACACAACACTGTACCTTATAATCATCTCTGCTGCCTATTTTCTCAAGTAAGTAATTCACACCAAGAAAATATGTCTGATTCAGTCGCAACCTTTTGGCTCAAGAAAAATGGAGAGAATGACTATCTTATTTGAACCTTTATGTCTGTTTCTGATTTAGCTGTGCATACAAAATGCGCATGCTGATTTGAGTCCAGAACCAGCATAACAATGCTCAGGACATGCCCTTAAGCGATTCATCCCCATCTTCAGCAGCAGTCAGAGTTTTAGTTCTAATAGTGCCAGCAGCGTTCAGATTGTATGTCCCTTGTGCCGTTTTCTCTGAGTATTAAGTGTTGGTCAGATCCTTTGGTCACTCCCCACTGCTCCATTCTTTTCAGACCCTAATCAACTTATTTGTGTGCCTCCGCGCTGCTCACTTTCTTGCAAAGGGTCTTCCGCACTGCTCACTTTCTTGCTAAGGGTCTTCCGCACTGCTCACTTTCTTGCAAAGGGTCTTCTGCACTGCTCACTTTCTTGCAAAGGGTCTTAATAACATCTAGCTGGTCCTGGATCAGTTTACTACTAGGTGGTGTAGACCAGCCAGTCTGTCTTCCTGTTCATTTCCCAACACATCTGCGTTAAAAAAATTGTGCATAAAAGAAAAAGCTGTGATGCAGTCTAAGATCCTGTGATAAATGGATATTAAATATACCGTTTTCCAGCTTTCCGTGTGTGGGTTGCTGGGGCTCCAGTTCAGGGACAACAAATAATTTACCCACTACCCTGTAATAAGTATGTCGTGTAAGTCGACTTATTAAGGATTTGCTGAAACGGAAATGTTGGGCTGAGTGGTGCAGATTTTGCTGCCTAGCTGTAAACAAAACAGCATACACACCACCCTTAAAATCATGAATATGAGAGGAAAAAATAAAGTTTCCAGCTTGAAGTAGCCTTGAAACATGTCCAAACACATTTCTTTATGACATGGAAACTGAATTGACCTATAGGTAATGCTACTATACTAAATGGCATGATTTCTACATATAATAGTTTGGGCACTTTTTCAGTACTGCACCAAAGCTGCATACTTTATACCTCTCTATATCACAGATTTACCTCTATAAATCACAGATTGACAGCTGTTGAATACCTGCTTTTCCCTTACTGGGTCCCATTGCAGTGGGACAACAATATCAGACCCACTGCCTCCCTAACAAGCATTTTGTTAGAGTCGACCAATTGGAGGTTTCTTTCGAAGTCAGACTGCAACTGCCTGAGAGGCTAGGAATCAACAGTTTGCGTACAAATAAACCAGATCTGTAAATTGGATATGCAAGCAAAACAACCAGTGGATCAAGACTAAAGTCCAGAGGTGGACCCACAACCAGAACTTTGCGCTGGAATTTACAGCCGGTCAACACAACCAGAAGGATACAAGACTAAAACCAGCAAGTGCAGCCCACAACCAGTGGACAAGACTAAAAACCAGAGAATCCTTAACCAGTGGATCCAGACTAAAGCCTTTTTGGACCCACAACCAGTGGATGCAACTTTGAAAATATTTTCACTTTCAGGTGGACCACTTTTAGTCCCTGATCAAGACTAAAGTCCAGAGGTGGACCCAAAACCAAGAGATCAAGTTTAAAGTCCTTTTTTGGCAGCCCGATGGTATAGTGGATCAAGACTAAAGTCCAGAGGTGGACCCACAACCAGTGGATCAAGACTAAAGTCCAGAGGTGAATCCACTTCAAGTTGGATTGTTCTTCAGAAATAAACTTGGCTCCCAGGTTGACCCAGCCTGCAGTTCTGTGATTTGAGTTCAGATCCACCATCCGAGTCACACAGTCACAGTCTGTAGCGACAGTGTTATTTTGAGTTACTTCACATTGGTAGATGGAGAAATAAATAATGGAAGACAAACTTACTCAACATAATTTTAAAGATAGTTTTTTTTTACTTTTACCCTGTTGATGTATGGTTTGTTGTTTTGTATAGTTTCTCTTGATTTCAGTTTTTTCTTTCTGTGTGCAGTTTCTCTAAATATGTTTATTTTATTTCTGTAGTTTTTTAATTTGTTTGTTTTGTTAATGTGTAGTTTCTCTAAAATATGTTTTGTTTCTGTAGTTTTTTTTATTTCTGTTTTGTTTATGTGTAGTTTCTTAAAGTCTTTGTATTGTTTCAGGATAGTTTTCATTTTTATTTTTTATTTATACGTTATCTTTCTATGTTGTTTCTTGATCTCTATGTGATTTTTGTCTGTCAATAAACTGTTTTTCTTGATTTGTGTGTTTTGTTTCTCCTCAGGCTGTTGATTTCTGTTTTGGTTTTGTCAGTGTCAGTGAAGTTTTTCTTAATTTGTGTGTTTTCTTTTCTATGTACAGTTTCACGCGGGTGGCCTTATGTGTTCTTGTGCTGCATTACGTGGTTGAGTTCATTTATCATGTGGCCCTGCTGTCTCACTTCTCTGAGAAAAGAGACATTGCATCAAGCATGTAAGTTGCCTGAAGATTATAGCTCTAATAGTTTGTGACAGGTTGAAATATGGATCAGGGGTTAAAAGAAAGACTAGTTGTCATTGTTTATGCTGTTAACCAGGGATTAGAAGAAAGACTAGTTATCATTGTTTATGCTGTGAACCAGGGGTTAGAAGAAAGACTAGTTATCATTGTTTATGCTGTGAACCAGGGGTTAGAAAAAGACTAGTTGTCATTGTTTAGGTGTGAACCAGGAGTTAGAAGAAAGACCAGTTATCATTGTTTATGCTGTGAACCAGGGATTAGAAGAAAGACAAGTTATCATTGTTTTTGTTGTGAACCAGGGGTTAGAAGAAGACTAGTTGTCATTGTTTAGGTGTGAACCAGGGGTTAGAAAAGAGTCTAGTTGTCATTGTTTATGCTGTGAACCAGGGGTTAGAAGAAAGTCTAGTTGTCATTGTTTATGCTGTGAACCAGGGGTTAGAAGAAAGTCTAGTTGTCATTGTTTATGCTGTGAACCAGGGGCTAGAAGAAAGTCTAGTTGTCATTGTTTATGCTGTTAACCAGGGGTTAGAAGAATGTCTAGTTGTCATTGTTTATGCTGTGAACCAGTGGTTAGAAGGTAAACTAGTTGTCATTGTTTATGCTGTGAACCAGGGGTTAGAAGAAAGACTAGTTATCATTGTTTATGCTGTGAACCAGGGGTTAGAAGATAAACTAGTTGTCATTGTTTATGCTGTGAACCAGGGGTTAGAAGAAAGTCTAGTTGTCATTGTTTATGCTGTGGACCAGGAGTTAGAAGAAAGACCAGTTATCATTGTTTATGCTGTGAACCAGGGATTAGAAGAAAGACAAGTTATCATTGTTTTTGTTGTGAACCAGGGGTTAGAAGATAAACTAGTTGTCATTGTTTATGCTGTGAACCAGGGATTAGAAGAAAGACAAGTTATCATTGTTTTTGTTGTGAACCAGGGGTTAGAAGAAGACTAGTTGTCATTGTTTATGCTGTGAACCAGGGGTTAGAAGAAAGTCTAGTTGTCATTGTTTATGCTGTGAACCAGGGGTTAGAAGAAATAGGTAGTTGTCATTGTTTATGCTGTGAACCAGGGGCTAGAAGAAAGTTTAGTTGTCATTCTTTATGCTGTTTAACCCTTGGGATAGAAGAATGTCTAGTTGTCATTGTTTATGCTGATTTCCAGGGGTTAGAAGAAAGTCTAGTTGTCATTGTTTATGCTGTTTGTTTCTTAGAAGAAAGTTTCTAGTTTGTCATTATGTGTAGTTTCTTGAACCAGTATTGTTTCAGGATAGTTTTTAGTTTTTCATTTTTTATTTATACGTTATCTTTCTATGTTGTTTCTTGATAGTTGTCTTGTTGTGATTTTTGTCTGTGAATAAAATGTTTTTCTTGATTTGAAGAAAAACTAGTTTTGTTTCTCCTCAGGCTGTTTCTGTTTTGGTGAACCAGTCAGAAAAAGTTTGTTGTCATTGTTTATGCTGTTAACTTTTCTATGTACAAGTTTCACGCGTTGTCATTGTTATGCTGTTCTAGTGGGTTGAAGAAAGTGGTTGAGTTCATCATCATTTGGCCCTGTGAACCAGGGGTTAGAAGAAAGAGACATTGCATCAAGCATGTAAGTTGCCTGAAGATTATAGCTATAATAGTTTGTGACAGGTTGAAATATGGACCATGGGTTAAAAGAAAGACTAGTTGTCATTGTTTATGCTGTGAACCAGGGATTAGAAGAAAGACAAGTTATCATTGTTTATGCTGTGAACCAGGGGTTAGAAGAAAGACTAGTTATCATTGTTTATGCTGTGAACCAGGGGTTAGAAGAAAGACTAGTTATCATTGTTTTATGCTGTGAAAGCAGTGGTTAGAAGAAAGACTAGTTATTTCTGTCATATATGAAAGACTGTTTTTATGTGTGTTTTAACCAGGGGTTAGAAGAATGTCTAGTTGTCATTGTTTATTTCTGCTGTTTTTATATGAAAGTCTAGTTGTCAATTATGCTGTGAACCAGTGGTTTGAAGAAAGACTAGTTATCATTATTTCTGCTGTTTTTATATGAAAGACTTGTTAATGTTAAACCAGTGGTTAGAAGAAAGACTAGTTGTCATTATTTCTGCTGTTTTTATATGAAAATGACTTGTTAAAGAAAGACTGTTATTTCCTGTTTTTAGTGGTTAGAACAAAAGACTAGAAGGTCATTATTTCTGCTGTTTTTATATGAAAGACTTGTTAATGCTGTGAACCAGTGGTTTGAAGAAAGACTAGTTGTCATTATTTCTGCTGTTTTTATATGAAAGACTTGTTAATGCTGTAAACCAGTGGTTTGAAGAAAGACTAGCGGTCATTATTTCTGTTGTTTTTATATGAAAGACTTGTTAATGCTGTGAACCAGTGGTTAGAAGAAAGACAAGTTGTCATTATTTCTGTTGTTTTTATATGAAAGACTTGTTAATGCTGTAAACCAGTGGTTAGAAGAAAGACTAGCGGTCATTATTTCTGTTGTTTTTATATGAAAGACTTGTTAATGCTGTAAACCAGTGGTTTGAAGAAAGATTGTTGTTCTGGTTGTCTGTGCTATGAACCAGCAGTTAAAAAAATTCAGATGGTAGTTTTTATTACTAGAGAGAAGTGTATAGTGTCATGATAAGCTCTTGAATGCTTGTGAAACATGGCTTGTATGCGGATGTCATGCAAAGAAGCTCAACCACTTCCATGTCTGTCTAAGAAAGAAAAAAAAAAAACTGAAAATCAAGTGGCATTCCCAGTATTGATACCATCCTGGTGCAGTCACAGATTCCAATGGCAGGTTACATAGTCATCTTGCTAGGCCATCAGAAATCATCTTGTGAGACACAGGAAGGTAGACACTATCATGGTTGCCAGAAAAAACGCTTCAGGGACATGCTACAGGCATCACTTAAGGCCTTTAATATAGACTCTGACACTTGGGACACTGTTACATGTGACTGGACTGCTTGGTGAGCGTCTATTCGAAGAGGGGCAGCGACCTGCGAGGCTTCAAGAAAAAGTTGCAGGCAGACTAGAATGCCCGTACAACAGGCCCCTTACTGACAGACACTGTTCCCTGCCCACATTCTCCTAGATCCTTCCGGGCCTGTATTGTAATTATAAGTCAGCTCTGGACTAGAACTCAACTATAGTTTCATGAAAAATGAAAGAAAGAGTGGTCCTCCTCACCTATGATGAACGAACAACAACAATACTTCTTATAAGGAGCCTGAAGAAAAAGAATGCAGAATCTGTCTGGCGACATTGAGGTGGATATCTCGACAGTTGTGGATATCAAGATGCCAGATATCCAGGTTCACAGACATGGATATCAAGATCCCAGATTTCCAAGTCCACAAACCTGGATATCTAGATCTTAGATATCCAGGTCCACAGACATGGATATCAATCCACGACTTGCTCTAAAATTGTTCTTGGTTTTTGCCTTCTGGGTTGTTTTGAGTTTTTTCCTAGCTCTTGTTTTTCAGTTAGACTAAACCTGTGTTTTAACGGAGAAATAATCAGTAATTATGTTGTTGCTCATCCAGCGCAAGTTGCAAGGACCAATTAGCAGCCAAAAGTAAAATAATGGTCACTGATTGTGGGTAGGAAGATGTCTGATAAGTCAAGTTTGAGTCTGGAAAATTTGTAAACTGTGCGGACAACAGATGGAAGTGGCAGTAGAGATAGAGTCTGGAAAATTTGTAAACTGTGCGGACAACAGATGGAAGTGGCAGTAGAGATAGAGTCTGGAAAATTTGTAAACTGTGCGGACAACAGATGGAAGTGGCAGTAGAGATAGAGTCTGGAAAGTTTGTAAACTGTGCGGACAACAGATGGAAGTAGCCGTAGAGATAGGATTGGCCACATGGTTCTTTCTAATCTGCCTCCGTTTCTTTGTAGTGCAACCTCTGCCTGGCAGGCTGATGCACCATGCTTGAGGACCATTTTTGTGATGATGAATGGATAGAAACACATCGGGTTTGTGCCTTGGTATGTGCTGCATAGATGCTGGTATTTACAGACTTGGATATTGCGCCTATCTGTGGTATTGCTTAGTCAACCTCTATCTCTGCCTCTTCTTCTTAAAGTCCATGCCATGTGGCTTGGTAGTCATGTCTGTCCACAGCCTTTCTGTCAAGTGTATTTGTCAGCTCTGACACTGATGATCCTCCATGCCATGAGGTCAAACTGTCCAGCATCTTTTCCCTCGGTCTCCCTCTGCCTCTCCTCCCCTCCAACTTTCCTACTGTCACGATGAACTCTGTCTCTGCTTTGGAAGAGTTAATTATCTATAAACATCTCATTTACTCTCTGGGTACCAAGGAACTCTTTACGCGGTGACATGGAATTAATTTAACTGTCCCCTGGCAAAAGTTGAAGTAAACTTTATCCAAAGAGAGAGAGAGAGACAGAGAGTGTGTGTGCGTGCGTTGCGTGCGCCTTTTTTTTTCTAGTGTTGGAGAGAACAAGAGTAGAGAGAATTATAGTTTTTGTCAGAGAACAGATTCAAAAATTATTTAAAAACATCTTCTTTTGCAGCTTCACAGTGTTTGATATCTTCATTGTCATAGTTCGGCTAGATTCAAAAATTATTTAAAAACATCTTCTTTTGCAGCTTCACTGTGTTTGATATCTTCTTTGTCGTAGTTCGGCTGGGAACCATCACATTGGCTGTATTAACCTTCTGGTATGTTGTTTTTGTCAGATTGGCATTCATTTATTTCTAATGTTATATATGAGAGCTGCCTTGTAGTATAATTTGGGAGGGCATTCTTCAGAATTGGAGCACATCTGCCTGGGAGACAAGGAGCCAACAGTCTGCATACAGATAAGCCAGATTTTAAAAGTGAAAGTGCATGCAGTGCTCAGGTTGTGGAGCAAGACGAAAGTGGAGGTGGATGAACACCCAGAATTTTCCACTGGAGATAACTGCCGATGATCATGAAAAGGAAGAAGAAGAAGTCACAATTTGAAGTGTGCAAAGTTGACAGTGATGGATTTGATTTTTGGATATTGACCATAGTGAACAACTAAACTTCCCTTAAAGATGTCATCATCATGTAGCAGGTTCTTTGCAGAGCATTGCTTTCATCACAGTCTGCCTGAAAGAAAAAGTAATGGTAAAGTTGGGAGATGTGAACCAGCGTCATTGGACACAGTTATAAACCATGAGTCTTCTGCTACTAGTACGGACAGCTGAAAAGAAACTGTCCACCTGTGTCGCCGTCCGCACAAAGCTACAGCGACGTTCCTCCATTTACCCCAGAGTTTTAACTCTGGTACCCATTTCCTAGAGGCTGGTTGAACCCTGGTAACCGCCAGGTTTCGAAAACTGGCCGTGTTCTGCAGCGAGTCGCAGCTGGATTTGAAAGAGAGTCTCCTATCAACTGCGCTAACATGGCTCCCTGTCTGAAAGAAACTTGGTCCTTTGCCAGATCTCCCACTCTTGCACTTTCTTACCTAAAGTGTCACTTGTATCCTGTGTTCATCTTCACACGGGTCAGCCCCTGCCCCTCTTTCCTATCACGGTGCCTTCTGCTACTATTCTTTCCAGTCCACCATGGTACTTGATATGGCCAAAATATTTTGGATGTTTGCTAGCCATTCTTACTTGATTTTTAGATGTTTTAGTATGTCAGTATTTCTTTTCATCTCAGCTCATTGTCGAAAAATGTAATAATAATATTATTAAAACAAAATAACTTTTATGGTAAAGTTATTTTTAAAAAAAAGCAGAAAAAAAAATGGGGGGGGGGGGGGGGGGGGTGTCAGGGGTCTTTTTCAAGCCATTGGCCATTTATGCATATGGTGCTAGAAACATTTGTATAGGCCACTTGACACTCATTGGCTGATGTGGTCAGTATCAGCCGGGCCACCTTAACTTCCTAGGACATTTCTTCCTACCCATTTTTGGTCTGAGGTCAGTTAAACAATCAGTCTCAGAGTGGGTGTCAACCCAGACCTTTGTTCTGGCTGCACGTGCGTAGCACCGGTCAGTTTAGCTTCAGCTAATTCAATATTTTTGTACTGTTTCAGGTATGGTTTAGCCCAGTCTAGCCAACCAGTCATTGATGTCGTTGCTGGAAATTATAATACCTATTTAATCAGGTCAGTTTTGATTGGTTGTTGACATCATGTCGTTGAGTTTCATAGTTATATATTAACTGTTAGCTTCAGCTAAAGAGAATTTTTCCTCCAGTTTGATGAAGCCTGCCAAGGGCTTAAGTTTTGATTAAACCTTCCCAGAATTTTGCTAAAGCTTGCCAAGGACTAAAGTTTCAATGAAACCTTCCCAGAATTTTGATGAAGCTTGCCAAGGACTAAATTTTTAATAAAACGTTCTGAGAATTTTGATGAAGCCTGTCAAGGTTGACAACTTTGATGAAGCCTGTCAAGGTTGACAACTTTGATGAAGCCTGCCAAGGTTGACAACTTTGATGAAGCCTGTCAAGGTTGACAACTTTGATGAAGCCTGTCAAGGTTGACAACTTTGATGAAGCCTGCCAAGGTTTACAGCTTTGATCAAGCCTGCCAAGGTTTACATATTTGATGAAGCCTGTCAAGGTTTACAGCTTTGATAAAGCCTGCCAAGGTTTACAACTTTGATAAAGCCTGCCAAGGTTTACATATTTGATGAAGCCTGTCAAGGTTTACAACTTTGATGAAGCCTGTCAAGGTTTACAGCTTTGATAAAGCCTGCCAAGGTTTACAACTTTGATGAAGCCTGTCAAGGTTTACAACTTTGATGAAAACTTTCAAGGTTTACAACTTTGATGAAGCCTGTCAAGGTTTACAACTTTGATAAAGCCTGTCAAGGTTTACAAGTTTGATGAAGCCTGTCAAGGTTGACTACTTTGATGAAGCCTGTCAAGGTTTACAACTTTGATGAAGCCTGCCAAGGTTTACAACTTTGATGAAGCCTGCCAAGGTTTACAGCTTTTATGAAGCCTGCCAAGGTTTACAACTTTGAAGCCTGCCAAGGTTTACAACTTTGATGAAGCCTGCCAAGGTTTACAGCTTTTATGAAGCCTGCCAAGGTTTACAACTTTGAAGCCTGCCAAGGTTTACAACTTTGATGCCTGCCAAGGTTTACAGCTTTTATGAAGCCTGCCGAAGTTTACAACTTTGAAGCCTGCCAAGGTTTACAACTTTGATGAAGCCTGTCAAGGTTTACAACTTTGAAGCCTGCCAAGGTTTACAACTTTGATGCCTGCCAAGGTTTACATATTTGATGAAGCCTGCCAAGGTTTACAACTTTGAAGCCTGCCAAGGTTTACAACTTTGATGCCTGCCAAGGTTTACATATTTGATGAAGCCTGTCAAGGTTTACAGCTTTGATGAAGCCTTTCAAGAACCAAAGTTTGATGAAGCCTGCCAAGGTTTACAACTTTGATGAAACCTCAAGGACTATAACTTTTATGAAGCTTGACTAGGATTAAAACTGGTTTGTCATGACTGATTATCCCATTGGCACTCAACTGCAATTCTAGTGGTAGACTTTTAATGTTAGTTTATTTGACAACTGCCTTATGCATTTAGTCAGTGTGCAAGCTGTTGGTTTTGTTGAGACTCCTGCCTTCTTCATTTTTTACATGAGACAGTGATAGGCATTTTGTATAAATTTCAATCGCTTAAGAACAGAGCAGTTGTGGGATTTGCCCATGAATTATGATTATCTAACAGACTAACTATTAGCAACCCTGTTTTCTTCACACTGTGAGCTTGACACTAAAAAGTTTATGCGCACAATTCTTCTTCTTGTTAGCATTCACTAGCTTTAAACTCTGGCAGAAAGTTCTGGTTGTTTGTCCACCTCTGGACTTTGTCTTGTTCCAGAACTTGAGTTTTGCATGCACATCCATTGTGCGGTTCTAGCTTATTTGTATGCAGCCTGTTGGTTCCTGACTTCTCAGGCAGGTGCACTCTGATTCCGAAGAAAACAACCCTACTTGGCAGCCTTGTACAACATGCTTGTTAGGGGGAGCAGTGGGTCTGTTCTTTCTGCTGAAAAAAGAATGTGACCAAGCAAGCGCACATGTGGAGAGTGCATGTGAAACTTGGACACAAGCTACGGGCTTGAAGACATCCGATGACAGTTAAGATTTTTCTGAGGAAAGTGCATACTTTCTCATGAATAACAGAAAATCACATATGGCAGTCTTGCAAGTGACAAACATAATCATAAACTGATAAACATTGTTACATTTCCCAAGCAAGAATATAGGTCATTGTCATATTTTAAAAGCAAGACTAGAGCATTGTCACATTCTGAAAGCAAGACTAGAGCATTGTCACATTTTGAAAGCGCAAAACTAGAACATTGTCACATTTTGAAAGCAAGACTAGAACATTGTCACATTCTGAAAGCAAGACTAGAACATTGTCACATTTCAAAAGCAAGACTAGAACATTGTCACATTCTGAAAGCAAGACTAGAACATTGTCACATTCTGAAAGCAAGACTAGAACATTGTCACATTCTGAAAGTAAGACTAGAACATTGTCACATTCTGAAAGCAAGACTAGAACATTGTCACATTTCAAAAGCAAGACTAGAACATTGTCACATTCTAAAAGCAAGACTAGAACATTGTCACATTTCAAAAGCAAGACTAGAACATTGTCACATTCTGAAAGCAAGACTAGAACATTGTCACATTCTGGAAGCAAGACTAGAACATTGTCACATTCTGAAAGCAAGACTAGAACATTGTCACATTCTGAAAGCAAGACTAGAACATTGTCACATTTCAAAAGCAAGACTAGAACATTGTCAAATTCTGAAAGCAAGACTAGAACATTGTCACATTTCAAAAGCAAGACTAGAACATTGTCACATTTCAAAAGCAAGACTAGAACATTGTCACATTTCAAAAGCAAGACTAGAACATTGTCACATTTCAAAAGCAAGACTAGAACATTGTCACATTTCAAAAGCAAGACTAGAACATTGTCACATTTCTAAAGCAAGACTAGAACAATGTCACATTTCAAAAGCAAGACTAGAACATTGCCACATTTCAAAAGCAAGACTAGAACATTGTCACATTCTGAAAGTAAGACTAGAACATTGTCACATTCTGAAAGCAAGACTAGAACATTGTCACATTTAAAAAGCAAGACTAGAACATTGTCACATTTAAAAAGCAAGACTAGAACATTGTCACATTTCAAAAGCAAGACTAGAACATTGTCACATTTCAAAAGCAAGACTAGAACATTGTCACATTTCAAAAGCAAGACTAGAACATTGTCACATTTCAAAAGTAGAACATTGTCACATTTCAAAAGCAAGACTAGAACATTGTCACATTTCAAAAGCAAGACTAGAACATTGTCACATTTCAAAAGCAAGACTAGAACATTGTCACATTTCAAAAGCAAGACTAGAACATTGTCACATTTCAAAAGTAAGACTAGAACATTGTCACATTTCAAAAGTAAGACTAGAACATTGTCACATTTCAAAAGTAAGACTAGAACATTGTCACATTTCAAAAGTAAGACTAGAACATTGTCACATTTCAAAAGTAAGACTAGAACATTGTCACATTTCAAAAGTAAGACTAGAACATTGTCACATTTCAAAAGCAAGACTAGAACATTGTCACATTTCAAAAGCAAGACTAGAACACAGACTTGTTCTGAGACTGGTGATTATATTTGATTGCAAACCCTCACTGCCCATGCTTATAGGCCTGGTATGTGATGATGTCAATGCACTATTTTCACATTTATTGTTTTTGTATCCAGAATTAACTGCTTGGCCGCTCTTTGCCTGATCCAAGCTGGCCTAATGTGGAACTTCATAACCTTTCACCTGCGGAAGTGGCGGGAAAATTCTGGCAGCAGCAAGAGAGCCCGCTCTCCAGTCAAGAAGAAGACTGTTAAGAGTGAGTGAAGAAATGTGTTAGTCGTACGTACATTTCTCTCAGTCTCTTCTTTTGTTACTTGCTTTATTTCTTACTTTTGACTTGCTTATTTTCCCCTAACAGTTCCTTACAGAGATTATCCCTGTTTATTCATTGTGTATCTGTGAAGCTATTTCTTTTACTACGGTAGGTATATAGTTGCACGTGGTTGTTATTTTTGTTCTTGTTGTAAATTTCCCTTACTACGGTAGGTGTAATTTTTTTGTAAAAATATTTGTCTTGCTGCAGTAGTTATATATAAAATTGTAAGGTAGGTATATATTTGTACATTTATTTCTCCTGCTAAGGTAGGTATATATTTATACGTTTATTTCTCCTGCTAAGGTAGGTATATATTTATACATTTATTTCTCCTGCAAAGGTAGGTATATATTTGTACATTTATTTCTCCTGCTAAGGTAGGTATATATTTATACATTTATTTCTCCTGCTAAGATAGGTATATATTTATACATTTATTTCTTTTCCTGCTAAGGTAGGTATATATTTATACATTTATTTCTCCTGCTAAGGTAGGTATATATTTATACATTTATTTCTCCTGCTAAGGTAGGTATATATTTTTACATTTTTTTCCTGCTACTGCAGGTATATATTTATACATTTATTTCTCCTGCTAAGGTAGGTATATATTTATACATTTATTTCTTTTCCTACTAAGGTAGGTATATATTTGTACATTTTTTTCCTGCTACTGCAGGTATATATTTATACATTTTCTTCCTGCTACTGCAGGTATGTATTTGTGAACATATATATATCTTTTTAACTACAGCAGGCATATATTTGTACAGTTAGTTCTCTTGCTTACAGTACATTTATTTCCTTGGCTGTGAAAGATAAGTTTAAGTAAAGGACCTTTTTCCCCACACGTTTATGCTAAGTGGGCATAAAGTACTAGAGCTGTATTTTATAAAGCCTAATCAGCACTCATGTGTGATATGGTCACCATCACAGCAACGCCTTTACTCCCCAGGATTTTACCTCCTGATACCCATTTAAGGCTTGGTCAAACTGGGTAATAAAAAAAAAAAAAGCATTTATTTCTGATACCCATTTAAGGCTTTTTTTTAAATATCCAGAAACCATGAGTTGTTAACCCTTTGGCTTGGTACTATGGATATCCCAACCCTTCGGCCTTGATTCCATGATAGGTACTGTAAATCTGGGGGAAATGTGGCTTCTGCCTACCCCCGGGAGTGAACCCGGACCACAAGGAGTTTGTCACCGGGTCACCGCCAAGACAGGTTTAACCAACTACGCTAGAGAGTCGGGCTTAAGGCTTGGTAATTAAAAAAAAAAATTTAGGAATGCATTTTCTGCATAGAAGGATATTGAATATAGAAATAAATTCTTGCCTGTTTTAAAATGCACCCTTTAGGAAATTAACCGGATGGGTTTGGATAGTCAGCTGGTTCATGCTGAAGGTACACCCTAGTTTACGGTAGTTCATAAAAGGTCTAGTTTTGATATCATCATCATGTTGCAGGTTCTTTGTGATACGCCGCTCTCATCACTGTCTGCCTGAAAGAAACTTGGTCTCTCGCCAGCTCGCCCACTTTGTGCATGTTCATACCCAAGGAGTCATTTAAATCATATGTCCATCTTTGTGCTGGTTGGTCCCTGCCTCTCCTTCTTGGCACCATGCCTTCTGCAGTTATTTGTTCAGTGTGATGAATCACTTGATGTGCCCAAAATATTTCAGATTCAGAGACAAGATGCTGTTTATTAATTAGCCAATCTTCCTTGATGTTTAGATATTTCTAAGGTGTTCCTGTTATTTTGTTGTGTAAAATATTAACACATCATTTTCTAAGATAGATGGATTGTTTTTTATTTATTTCACTGACTTGATTCTTCTGAAAAGGTGGCTTAATTTTTGAAAACTTTTTTCTTATTAATTTGGACGGACTTTTTCAAGCGCCCCCTTTTTTTTAGTATACCTTTTGGGCAGGGAGATCATACATCCTGTTTTCACTGAGACAGTCCAGTTTTTTAGAATATCTCCAAAAACTCGCTGATTGTCCCATTTTCCCCCTTAGAAATCTAGAAATTAGCTAAAGAATAGAACATACAGTTTAGTAATATCTGTCTTCGTGTGGGTTCTGGGGTCCCATTGTCGGTGGGGGGAGGGGGGGTAGGGGGCCAGAATAAACCCACTGCCTCCCCAACAAGTAAATCGTAGAAGTCCACTAATTGGGGAATTTCTTCGAGGTCAGCGTGCATCTGCCTCAGAGGCAAGGAATCAAGTCTGCATTTAGATAAACCAGATCTGTAAAACGGATGTGCATGCAACATTCAGGTTCTGGAAGAAGACTAAAATCCAGAGGTGGACAAACAACCGGAACTTTCTGCCAGAGTTTACAGCCATTGAGTGGGAAGAAAAAAAAGAAGACGTTATGTTTGTAGACTCTATCAGATTTCATAGTTTATATATATATATATATATATATATATATATATATATATATATATATATATATATATATATATATATATATATATATATTTATATAATAGTGTAGTTAAAGAGCATATTGTTTCGTTTATTTTTTGGAGACTGTGGATCAGGTTTTAATATTTTAAAACTATTGTCGAGAGAGTAAATGGCCCTTTATTTCACACAGGTGACCTAGAAAATCGGTTGGGGGAGGGGGGGGGGAGGGGAAGTAAACTAACCTGCTTGGGGTGTCCTGTTTTTAACCCGAAATTTTAGTAGGATGTCCCATTTTGAGCTCCAGAAATTATGGTCACCCATCTTTTGGGCAGTATCTATACTAATCTTTTGTTGTTAACAGTTATAATTACTCCATTGTTGCCTTTTACAAAGATAACAAATGCATTTTTTTTTATTTATTTCTTCTTTTTGAAATTTTTTTTTAAACTGTCACTTGTGATGTGCAAAACGTTATGACACACCAAAAAAATATGTTCAGATGTTTTTGTTTTTTTTCAAATCATAATGGACAGTTTCTCATGCCACTGAAGTCATGTATGTAACTTTTTAGTACAATGCAGACCTGATAAGGAGAACTCACCGGGGCCAAACAAATTCTTCTTCTTAAAAGAAATAACTTTTATCCAGATAAGAGTTCAAGCAAGAAAAATTGCCAGGGTTAAAAGAATTGCTCTATTCTGGCAAGAACAATTGCAGGGGAATCAACTAATTGTTCTGTTAAAGGCAGAACAAATGCAGGGATAAAAAAATGGCTCTGTTATTGCTAGAAAAATTGCAGGGGATAAACATATTGTTTAAGAGGTTCTGTCCTTGAAAATAAAGAAAACGGAGGTAATTGTTATGTCAAAGAAAAGGATACCACCACAGTTTAATATTAGAATAGAAGGTAAAAAGTTAATCCAAGTTGATAAATTCAAATATCTATTTACAGCGATAACATCAGATGGAAGATGTGTGTCAGAAATAGACCAGGCTAAGGCTGCATTTCACAGAATGAAGAATATCGTGTGCAACAGGTCCACCTCTTTTGAAGAGAATAAAAATATGGTTCCTCAGACGAATGTGAAGAAAACATTGGACTGCCAGAGTAACTAACAAGGATTGCTTGAAAGAAGCTTATAAAAGCAGGTCAATATGTACAGTTAAAGGAAAAGACAAGCAGCGTTTCTTGGTCACGTGATGACTAGGAAGATTAAAGATACAAGAGGGAGTAGCATTCAGAGAGAGAGATGATGACGGAAGGATTGCGAGTGTGGCAGAGAGGGATATCATCGGTGGAACTGATCCAGAGGACACGGGACTGATCTGTGGAGATGCGTGAATGCCTGCACCAGGTGGCAGGGCACATGATGATGATGATGAAACGTATAATTCTTCACAAGAGAAATTCGCCACATCTAAGATCTTCTTCAGTGGTCTGCACTGCATTTTAAAAATGTGTTCATAATTTTTACAGACTTTTATCAATGCGCCCCCCCCCCCCCCCTCCCCCTTTTCAATTCCCCTCCATTCCCAGTGTTCTCTATTTTTCAGACTTTTGTCTCTCTTTGTCTCTCTGCCTATCTTTGCTTCTGTCTCTCAGTATTTGTCTCATTATGTGTATTTTTTTTCTATCTGTTTGTGTGTATGTTTGTTTGCACATATAGTGCATGCGCTTGTGTGTGTGTGTATGTGATTTTTGTGTGGGTAATTCACTCTCTCTTTTTATTTATCTCATCATGTGCTTTTTCTGTCTCTATATCTGTGTGTATGTCCATGGTGCATGCTTGTGTATGTTTTGTATGTGTGTGAGTCATTCACTCTCTCTTAACATGGAGGAGGGTCAGCACATAAACTAATAAACACCATTGAAGATCGCAGATTGCGGGGAGGCATGATTGCCCACGCCAGTCAGCGGGGCACTTGATGATGATGGTACCCCAGAATGTGTAGAGGCTCCTTTAATTATTTGTGTGTACTTGTCTTTGCTTTCAGTTGCTGTTGTGGCAGCAGAAGAGTTGGAGGCGCTGCCCGAAGTTGATCAGAACTCTGCTACAGAAAATGGCAGCCTTCGGGCAAGAAAGGCCAAGAAATAGATTCACCGTTACAGATTGGACTAGATAACACATTTATAGGATATGGTATTTCTGTTTGTGTGTGTGTATGTGTACGTGCTGCTGATTAGGCTGTATTAATTTCCTAATGATTCCATGTACCAAGGATTGCCTCAAGCATTGATTTATAAATAATCCAACTGTACTGTGGTACTTATAAGGTAACTCTTTAAGTACCAGAAGGTTGTACCGGAGATTTCCATATGTATTAATTACAACTAGGAAAAGAAGCATGAGAGAATTGCTTTCACGGATGCTAAGTATTGGGGAGGCCAGATTTCTTGGTATACTGTGACCAACTGTGAAAAAGATTAGAACATATTCCATGTTGGGTGGGATTCAGAGAAGTGCTGATCACACATCACATGGGGATTCAAAGAAGTGCTGACCACACATCACACGCAGTGTGGGACTGAAAGCGTTAAGCTGTTTGACTCATGCTGTGAAGATTATGGGCTACATTTTGGGCTCCGTTTTTTGTTGTTGTTGATGGGTGGAGACATTTTGGGGATCCCTACGGGTAGTTTCTGGAGATGTGTTTATCCTTTGGGCCACTTCTTTGGAGCCATTCTGCAGAGAGAGAGAGAGACTAAGAACTGTTGGATCAAACCTACAAGGAAGTTGATTCTCTTGCCTTTAAACACCTTTCAAATTGTCAAATGAAAGGTGTGTGTGAACATGCCTTTGTGCACACACTGTACCAGACTCTGTTAACAGTTCACTTTTAAAAATCTGACATCAAAATATGGTTATGGGTTGTTAATATGTATCGCAATATATTGTCTCATCATGGGTTGGTTTATGGCTTGTATCATCTTTTGTAAACTATTGAGGCGCATTATATTATTTTATGTTTTCACATACTTTATTGTCTTGCGTTAAATTATGTATTAATAATCTATCAATGTATATTGTTAAACTATTAAATACAGCATAAAAAAAAACTAGAAAGATGCCACCAGTATAACCAAATGTTTTGACCAAAGTCTTTATCATTGGAGCACTAAAGACATCACAGACTTTGACTGGAAAACTCAGCAGACAAGACAGCAGAGCTTCTAAACAATTAAGTTTGTCTTTTTGTTTTTCTTTCTCATTTTCTTTATTGAGCTTTTAAGTCGCATTTATTTGTTGTAGTGTTTAGCACTTTTTGTCATAAGCTTGAGTGTAATCACCCCCTATTTGCGTCGTCACTGTAGATGTTACACTGTTTTTTTGTTAATGTTTTGTCATTTAAAAATTCTTAGGGACTCATGGACCAGGAAGAAGAAGATATGCTGGCATGCTTCACGATCTGACTATCAAAGGGGGACTAGCTAATCAACAGTATTTATTAGTCACAACCTGAATAACTTTGGCTTTTTTAAGCGCTATAGTTGTTTGGTGAGAGCTGTCTTTTGTCTTCTTCATTTCCTTTTTTACTACTTCGGATGACTAAGGAGATAGAATTCTGCTTTTTTGATCTACTTATATCTCAGTGTATTGTCTGTAGCGCTAATAAATCTCTTACCAGCTTGCTAGGCCTGTTGCAGCTGCACCACAACCCTGTTGATCAAGACGTTTTGGGGTGACCTTCATGACAGCTGTAGTGGAGAGTATGGTTTCTAGAAGGGGAGGCAAGGATCGACCAGCCTTACGGTGGACACAGGGTGACAAGCACACCCTGGATGTGAAAGTTCATAAGCAGAAAAGTCAGGGAACTGTTTGTCATGCCATGTGGGGAATAAAGTTCTGCAAAGGACCTGCCACATGATGATGATGATGATATCATATTGTGCCAGGGATGCGACTTGGATAATGTGACATATTTCAGTGCATCATATTTTTGTTTTATGTTGTCAGTCATAATGTTGTTGTGCTGGCATCTTTGACTTAGTTAGTCTTTCCTCTTGAGCTTCGGGTGGCACATAGGGCAGAGGTCATAGCTCTCTATGTCTGGCGGTTCGTTGCCACATCTTGTAGGTCTTGGATGTTTATTAGGCCCATGGTCGAGCCTTCTCTGATGATGGTTCTACATCTGTGACTGAAAAGTTATAAATGCAGTTTTGTTTATTTCTACTGGCACCCTTTTTTGTTGTTGCTGCAGACAATTTGACAATAACCACTTTGCATTGATTATTGGGGTGAATGTTGTTCCGTTCAGAAAGCAATGGCAAATGACTGAACGTATACTTGCCTATATAAAGTTTTTTTCATGTCATTGCCACCTCCTGTTAACTTGTGCTGATATTTGTCTCTGATCTCCTGTTTTGTTATATAGTTATATGGGTCACATCTCTGTTTTGTTTTAATGGTTTCAGCTTTTGGTCACGTCTCTGTTTTTTTTAAAGTGTTATGTTTTCATTTGTTTGTCACATTTATGTTTTGTAATATTGTTTTGTTCTCATTTTGTTCACATCACTGTTTTGCTGTATTGTTAGATTTTCATTTTTTGTCACATCTCAGTTTTTCATATTGTTATTTTTTTGGGGTCACATTGCTAGTTTTGTTACAGTGTTATGTTATCATTTTTAGTCACATCTATATTTGGTTATATTGTTATGTTTTAATTTTTGGGATCACATCTGTATTTTGTTATGTTGTCTCCTTATGTTATGTTATAAATAACTATCACAGTTCTGTTGTATTATAATAACAAAGCGTGTTATGTTATACATAACAAGTGTTATGTTATATGTGTTGTACCTGGCATCATCAGTATGGGAACTCTTTATTGGTTACTGAGGAAGGAGGCAGAGCCCATTTGATATTGTCCTGAGTGCAGTGATGTCACTTCCTAATATGTTATGTATTCTCACTTCCTATTAGAACATTCTGTTGTTATACTGCAACATGGTGTTATATTATTCTGTGTGGAATTATCATATCATATACGAAAAGGACTTTGACTAAGCATCATTCATTATCTTATATGACATTATATTGCTACATACATTGTATATTGAAACATTTTGGGGAAGGGTTTTGACTTGTAGCATCTTTACCATTATATTAAACATCTATGTTGCATTATGTTATATTTTGTTGTAATGTGATATAATATATTGTATGTTATAGTATGGAGCATGATACACTTTGATTTCTTATAGGATTCAGACGCACAGTATCCTACTATTTGAAATAAGTAGATTCTGTGTATCCCAAAAATATTTAACGTGAGATAAGTAACTTTAGTGAGACCTCCAGCTGTTTTATGTATATTTTACTTCACAGTAAAGCCTCGTTAACACAAATTCCAAGTGGCTGAAAAATTAGGAGTTTGTGTTGTCAAAATGAATGCTAACAGGACTAAAAATAATCCATGCCTGCAGGGACCAAAATTGTGTTCCTTTTTGTCTTAACTCTTTTGGTCCCAAGGAACATACTATGTGGGATCAGTTACTGTCCATGTGTATTAACTCTTTTGGTACCAAAGGGCAATTAAATTTATTATAAATGAACACTTGATGTGTTCCTTGGTACCCAGAGAATTAAGCAACACTCCATATCTTTATGTGTCCTTTATGCTTAGTCTGAATATACAAAAGAAATGTATTTTAACATGTATCATAGGTGTCTGTTCATCCTTGAAGCTAATACGGAGAAGGGGACCGAGCACATGTGGGACTGTCCCAAGGGCAGTCATGTCAGTTCTTGATAGATTAATTCATTCATTCATTCATTCATGACATAGAACAGAGAGAGTTGAAAGTGACTGGATTACCCAGAGATGTGATTTTTCCATGTGATGCTAAAATTCAGTGGACAGCTAAATAAGATTATCTTCCACATCCTGCGATAGTTGCATTAAAAAAGATAGTTGATTGTGCTTGTCAGGGCAGAAGAATCACTGTTTTGTTGTCATGTAATGAAATTAGGGTGTGGAGTTGATTGTATAACCTGGAAAAATTAGGATGTTAGAAGCACAGAGAGAGAAAATGCCTGATGGCTTGAGAGAGTGGCACGGAAGACCATTTGGACTTGTTAACTCTTTTAGTACCACGAAATGCATCATATGTGCACAGGTTCATATCTAGAAGCCCAGTAAATGCAAGATAGGCTGTTTTACATCTTCTTTACTAGCCCTTGGGCCTCTGATGCTGAACCCCCTGGGATTGAAGGAGTTATTTAAACTGTTGAAGTGGCCCAGTCATTTGTCCCGCACTTCAGCGGTCGTGGATACGGTTTTAGATTCTGCTCTTCACTTTCTCAGTGCAAGTTTTCTAAGTTTTTGGGAATTATTGATGGAGCTGCTGGTTGCAATGTTTTTTTTGGTGTGTGTTGGGAAAATAGTAGCAGTGAGGAGAGAGACTAATTCGTAAGGATAGAACTTGGGGCAATGAAGTTGATTCTGTTACGTTTAAACAATGATTTCCTGCACAGGGCATCGTGACACATAATGATTGTGAAGAAAGGATGATCCACGTGAAGATGTGAGAGAAGTTATGGGTCAAAGAACCATCATGCTCTACTATCTCAGCATTCTGTTCATGTTAAATAATTCACATCCGTCCTGCATTAATATCAGAAGGCAGCAGTTACAAAATATTTAGACGATTGCAACATATAAAAATAACGCAGTTTTCTACAGCAAATAAATAATCAGTTGTGAGAAATGAATGAATAATTAGAAAACTTTGACAGAATGTAAACATTTGTTAATAATTTAGGAATTACAAAATTTTTAAGACTGGATCAAATTTAAATAAATAAAATGTTTTTGAAAAGTGGCTTAGTAATAATAAGACCTTGATACAGAATAGAATAAACATTTTTGTCAATGTCTTAACTCTTTGAGTCCCAAGGAACGCATCATACGTTCGAAGGTTCCTACCTAGAAGCCCAATGAACGCATGATGCGCCGATTTTATGATTTTCTTGACTACCCCCTGGGCCTGTGTTGCTAAACCCCCTGAGACTCAAAGAGTTAACCCTGTTGCCCCTAAAAGCAATTTTTCTGACATTTGTGGGTTTTTGCTGCATGAAATCAGTGGGCAGTGGTC